AGCAGCAGGTCGAAGGAGGTGATTCTCCCCCTCTACTCTGCTCTCGTGAAACCACACCTGGAGTACTGTGTTCAGATGTGGGGCCCCCAACATATAAAAGACCTGGACCTGTTGGAGCAAGTCCAGAGGAGAGCCACAAAGATAGTCAGAGGGCTGGAACACCTCTCCTATAAGGACAGGCTGAGAGAGTTGGGGTTGTTCAGCCTGGAGAAAAGAAGGCTCCGGAGAGACCTAATAGCAGCCTTCCAGTACCTGAAGGGGGCCTTCAGGAGGAATGGGGAAACACTCTTTATCAGGGAGTGTAGTGACAGGACAAGGGGTAATGGTTATAAGCTGAAAGAGGGTAGATTTAGACTAGATATCAAGAAGAAATTTTTTCCTGTGAGGGTGGTTGAGACACTGGAACAGGTTACCCAGAGAAGCTGTGGATGCCCCATCCCTGGAGGTGTTCAAGACCAGGCTGGATGAGGCTTTGAGCAACCTGGTCTAGTGGGAGGTGTCCCTGCCTGTGGAAGGGGGGTTGGAACTAGATGATCTCTGAGGTCCCTTCCAACCCAAATCATTGTATGATTCTATGATATTCAATACCGTAAATGAGATATCATTTTAGTCTTTTCTCTAAATGAACAGAACAGAAAAAGGAAGAGACTGTATTTTACGTAAATATTTGTCATTACTTATTTCCAAAGATTATTGGAAGACCAGCTTCTCACATAGATTAACAACAGAACAAAGGTGAAAGACAGAAAAATAAAGACTAGAGATCTATCATTTTTCCCTCAAGTCTGAAAAGTAACAGCCTCAGCTGAATGCTTTATGAAAGTCAAAAAACAGCTTCAGAACCATTCCCAATTTGGTCATCAGTTAGAATCATCACTTTAGGCAGCCAGTCACATATATATAGTTGCGATTAAGTATCAGTAATTGTGTTATTTGATGACAGAACAAATTCCTTTCAACGGCGAAGCAATTGATGGTCTGAGAAATTTCAACTCTCACAATATCGGAAGCCTAAGACTTCTGGCAGAGCTGCAATTCACATCATTTTTATTTTACTTCCTCGGGACTGAAAGAGGGAAGGAGAGAGAGCGTAAGGTAAGAAACTTTCATAGGACAAGGAAAAGGCAGATGGTAAAAGACGGGCCGAGTTAGTTGAAGCACCATACATACATTCTGTACTGTATACACTAAGACAGTTAAAGGGTATTTCAAAGGAAGGAAAAAATGTATTAAAGATAGTTGAAACACCCAATATTGTAAGTCAAGCAGGTCTTGGGAGAACCTTGAAATGTTACTGTCCTGCAGATCAGTCTTATGAGTGAGAGGAAGGAGGAATATCCTCCTCCTCCTTAGACTTGGCATTAAAAAATAAAAGTCTTAATGGTGACAAAGCAGAAATTATAATGTATAATGTACTAAAGGCGCTAAAGACTACAAAAACATCACCTGTTTGCTCCCTTCCTGTCTATAGATAATGTATGAAATCTCTACAGCTGCTGAACTGATGTACTTACTCAAGATGTATCAAGATGTAGCATCATTTCCACACACCCACTCACTTTCCTCGTGAATGAAGTATCTTAGGTAGGAAAATGTGATTGTGATAAGGAAAGGTGATATAATTACTTGGCAAGTACCTGGGAAAAAACTGACACAGTAACAGAAAATATGACTTGGGCTGGGGCAATCCCAGGTACTTATATAGACTGGGAGAAGAACTCCTTGAGAGCAGCCCTGCAGAGAAGGACTTGGGGGTCCTGATGGACGAGAAGCTGGACATGAGCCAGCAGTGTGCGCTTACAGCCTAGAAGGCCAACTATGTCCTGGGCTGCATTAAAAAAAGGGGTGGCCAGCAGGGAGAGGGAGGTGATTGTGCCCCTCTACTCGGCTCTTGTGAGGTCCCATCTGGAGTACTGTGTCCAGGCCTGGGGCCCCCAGCACAGGAAGGACGTGGAGCTCTTGGA